AAACCCTCACCCCTTTTGTTCTAGCATCATTTTCTTTTGGCCTCATTTTCAAATAATATAGAGCAAGAGCATGAGAGAGAGCAGAAACCCTTACCCCTTTTGTTTGATCTCCATCGTCTTCCATCGTCTTCAACATTGCTGACGTGGTTGTGAGTAAGCATGTCTTCTGCCACCGTTGAGAGGTCCAGAGCGTGATTCCTCCCTCTCCCTTGCTTCTTGCTGTCAATCATTTGCGTTGCTAGTTGCTGTTTGGCTAATTCATCCTTTACTGTCATTGTTGGAGCTGCTGTCGCTGCTAGAGTCACCATCATTTTCTGCTGTAAGGAGTCTCATCGAGGTTAAGGATTCCTTCCATTTCTGTGTTGCTGTCGATTTGTGCCCTCTCTGTCTCTATTTCGTGGTAATGCTCATATATAGTTATGGAAGCTTGATCCTCTTCCATCATCCCTCCTTATTCCTTAGGTGAGTGAATCTCAACCCTCCCCTCTCTTTGGTTTGATTCTGTGCACATATGTAATGGTGAATGAGGTTAACAATTTTCATTCCTCTCCTTTCTAGGCTACCGTAGGTCTGTGGAAAAAAAATTTAGTAAATTAAACTGACTCTATTTGGTAAGGTAGTTCAATTATTATTGATGCTATTGATGAAGTTGGATAGGAGTTTTATTTATTCTTTGGGTTTAACATTGGGTTGTATGGAAATACACACACACAATAATAATAATAATAATTAGGAAGTATGATGAATTCAAGTATTGCTGTTGGGAGCTGTGGAATGTGATTTGAAGAGAAGGGTTTAGAATTTATATTAAATATTTATATCTACAAGAGGTTCGAGGAAGTACCCATTAGAAAGGGTCGAGTTTGGTTATGAATTTTTTAAAATTTTATTAACTGTTATAAAGATATAGTTTGGTTTGGGTGTTAATTATTTATGGATTTAACCTGAGTTTTGTGAAAAGTTTTGGTTATGAAATTATTGTGAAGACGCTTTCTAAAATATTTTTTTTATATTTAATATAAGTCATAAAGAGTTATTAATTAAAATTTGTGAATGCCTTAGCTTGTTACTTAGAAACTCCTTTACAAACTCCTTGTTATTATTATTATTATTATTTTTGTAATGTAGAGGAATGATGGGCGATAGAAGTTGGATGTACAATAGACAAGATCAGAGCAGAAAGGGGTTTACTGGAGAATTCATAGGTGGCATAGATGAGTTTATAGAGTTTGCCATAACTCAAAAAGACTTTGTATCTAATGGCATGATACGATGTCCTTGCTCAAGATGTGATAATATAAAGTTTCTTGATGTAGATCTTGTCAAAACTCACCTCTATAGGCATGGTTTTATGCCCGATTACTACCAATGGGTTTCTCATGGAGAACCCTTTGTTGCAATGGCTAGAGAAGAATGTAATATCAATTTAAGGTCTCAATTAAGGGGTGATAGTATAATAATTTTCAATGAATGTTGCAATATGGTTTTCAAAGCTGCTGGTCCTAATTTTAATCTAAATTTATTTGATGCGAATGGGACCTTTAGTGGAAATTAAATGTTTGAAGTTAAGGAAGAATTTCCTAATTGTGAAGCTGAGAAGTTTTATAAAATGTTAAAGACTGTAGAGGAGCCACTTTTTAATGGGTGTAAAACACATTCTACATTATTTGTGGTGACAAGATTGCTAAATATTAAGTCTAAATTTAATATGAGTCAGAGTTGCTTTAATCGTGTTTTACAATTAATCAAAGAATAGTTACCAAAGGATGAAAAGTTGCCTAATGACTTGTACAAGACAAAACAATTAGTTGGTAAGCTTGGGTTAGGATATGAGAAGATACATGTATGTGTAAATGGTTGTATTCTTTATTGGAAAGAACATAAAGATAAAACCACTTGTCCCAAATGTGGTCATCCTCATTATAAGCCCAGGAAGAAAGGTGGTCGACGAAAGCATAACATACCTTATAAGATTTTAAGATACATGCCTCTTACCCCAAAGCTATAAAGATTGTACATGTCAGCAAAGACAGTTGAACACATGACATGGCGTCAAGAGTTAGGGGTAATGAGCCATCCTTGTGATAGTGAAGCGTGGAAGCATTTTGACTAAAGCCATCCTTCTTTTGATGTAGAACCTCATAATGTTCGATTGGCCCTTGCATCTGATGGCTTTAGTCCTTATGGGCAAATGTCACATAATTATTTTTGTTGGCTAGTAATTGTCACACCGTACAACCTTCCGCTAGGAATGTGCATGAGCAGCCCTTATATGTTTCTAACTCTTATCATTCCTAGTCCAAAGAGCCTTGGCCAAAATATAGACTTGTATTTGCAACCTCTTATAGATGAGTTGAAAACATTATGGGAGATTGGTGTAGAAACATATGATTCTTTTAGACATCAAAACTTATAAATGCGAGCTGCTCTTATGTGGACTATAAATGACTTCCCTGGTTACATTATGTTATTTGGATGGAGCACACATGGTGTTTTATCTTGCCCCATATGTAGGGACCAAAGTAAAGCATTTTATTTGAAAGAAGGGAGGAAGCCATCTTTCTTTGATTCTCATCGCCAATTTTTACCAAATGATCATGCTTTTTGCAAAGATAAGAAGTTTTTCAAAAAAGGCCAAGCTGAGAAGTCTTCTCCTTCAAAGAGGTTATCTATTGAAAAAGTATGGGATAATGTGCATCATTTACCCTCTATTATGGAAAAAATTGGGACAAATAAGCTACCTGGTTTTGGCAATGAGCATAATTAGACCAAATGAAGTATATTTTGGGAGTTGCCTTATTAGTGCACAAATCTCATATGCCATATGCACATTGAAAAAAATATGTTTGACAATATATTTAACACTATTATGGATTATAAGGGTAAAACAAAAGACAATGTAAATGCAAGGAAGGATCTTTCTATATATTGTAACCGTCCAAATTATAAGTTGATTGAAAAAAGTGATGGCAGCACCAGTAAGCCAAGAGCACCTTATACTTTAGGAAAGGAACAAAAAAATTTGGTGTGTGTATGGATTACAAATTTAAGGCTCTCTGATAGGTATGCCTCAAATTTATCTAAGTGTGTTGACATCCAAGCTCTTCAAATATCTAAGATGAAAAGTCATGATTGTCATGTTTTCATGGAGAAGCTGCTACCAATTGCATTAAGAGACTTGATTCTTGAGCCAGTTTGGAATGTCTTAACTGAAGTCAGCATATTTTTTTAGAGATTTATGTTCAAATGTGTTGCGAGTAGATGAAATGTAAAAACTAATGAATAATATTGTCGTGACACTTTGCAAATTGGAGAAAATATTCCCCCTAAATTCTTTAATTCTATGAAACATTTACCAATCCATCTACCATATGAGGCTAAAGTTGGTGGCCCAATGCAATATTGGTGGATGTATCCATTTGAGAGGTTTGTTGTTCAAATTCTATATAAAATATTATATAAATGAGTAATTAGGTGTTGCTTCATGATAAATAACTTGTAAAATATATTTTTTACAGGACCTTACATGACTTGAAAAAAATGGTTAAGAATCTTCTCGAGTTGAGGGATCTATTTGTGAAGCATATTTGATGCAAGAAGTTTCAAATTTCTATTTGAAAAAAATGGTTATTTTCTTCCTCACTTTGAAACAAAGTTAAATAGAGTGGGTAAAAATTATGATGGTGGTGAGGTTGATGCACCAGATGGATGCCTCTCATTATTTACTCATCCAGGTTGTGCTAGTGGAAGAATGCGTAAGAGATTTTTAAATTATGAAGAATTCAATGCAGCTACACTATATGTGCTTTTGAATTGTGCTGAAATTGAGCCCTTTTTAGAGTAAGAACAAAAATAGCTCTTAATTATTACATTTAATTAAATTTTTGCTATATTTAACTGACACCTCTACTTTAAAATGTAGGATTTTTTAAAGAGGAATTGATGGTAGAAAACCTCAATATAACCAAGAATGAGATTGAGAGCAAGACAAATGAAAAGTTTGCATCTTGGTTAAAAGAATGTTAGTTTCAAACTCAACTGCTCTAAGCACTAAGATTTTATTTATTATATCTTATATAAATTATTTGTTGATCTTGTTAACTTTCTATAGGTATTCAATCCAAAAAATTGTAATAACTCAGGAATTTTAAGTTAAAAAAATTTAAAATATATAATAATATGTTTTAAATGTATTTGTATTAAAAAAAATTACCAATAAGGAATGTTGGTCTAGTAAGAGTGCAATGACTTTAAATTTTAAATTAAATGAATTCTCTCCTAATTAATATTTAATTTAATTATTTTTAATTTATGACAAATGAGAATATAGAGGCTTGGTTGAATTTATGTATAAAAATTCATAGTTTAACTCTTCTTCAAGTCAAATATGTTAGTTTTATTTCCATATGGAAAAGTGCCCTTCTCTATTAGTATGAAAACATTATAATAATAATAATAAAATAATAAAATTTGATGGGGGTAAGTTTCTGTAATTTTTGCCAAAAACTTTATATTTCATTTTTCTCCCCTTCTTTTTCATTCGACTGACTTCAGAGAGCTCAGATGGAGAAGGTTCATGATTTTTCTTCACTGTTCGTCTCCTCTTTCCTATCGCACTTTCAGCCTCCCATCGCCATCAGTTCGTCCGTCGTTCTCCTCTCTATTCACTTTCGTCGGCCACAGTGGGTTGAGTTATTGGACTCTCTAATCTTCCTCCTCTGTTCGCGTTGCTCTTCCCTCTACTCTCCATCACCGACTGTTCTTTCTTTTCCTCTATCAGAATCATGTAGCATCCTTTACTTTGTGTTTTGGGAGCTGGTTCATGGGTGTAATAGGTTCGATCTATTAGTCTTTTTAATTTTCCCTGTGACGTAGCTCTTCTTTTTCCTTGTTCGAGTGTCGCCGTCGAGTATGTGTAGTTACGGGAAGCATCGAATCTTTATTTCTTCTTTGTTGCTCTGTCGAGCGTGACGACACTAGAGTACCAGCCAGAATCAGCATCGAAGATTCATTCTCATCTCCTTGGCGATGTCGTCTGTGTTCCTTCGCATGTGTAGCTGCTCAAGTGGGTCCAGATTTTTCTCTCCTCTGTTCTTCATCTTGATTTACTCCTTGTTTGTGCTGTTGATAGTCTGAGGTAATGAACTTTGATCCTTTACTTCCCTATTGCTGAATTGCTGAATACTTGTGTTGTGGGTTAAAATATTGAAATTTTTCTTCCTCCCTTTACTGCCATGAGTAATATAGGGGATGAGGATGTAATATTTTTGGAGTTAAAGATGGATTTATCCATTGTAGGCATGGAACTTTGGAAGCTTGATTTGGTTGGTTTTCTTTGAGTTGTGATAATCGTAATAAAAAAAAGAAAGAGTAATCTATTAGTTTATTTGCTGTCAGCAGATACCGTTCAGAGTTAGATAGTAGGATGGTTTAATTAATGCAACATTTTGATTAAAGCATTTAGGTACTAATAAGATAGATAAACTTCAATTAATAAGGTTGCTCTTGCCACATCATGTTTAACCAAGTTTCTTTTAATGGAGCTTTTGTAACTAGATAAGAAGATTTTTACCCTCCGAAAATTGTAAAAAAAAAATTCTCTATATTGACAGAGCTTATCTTTGATAGGTAATTTTACTTGATTGATTTGGTTACCTTAAGAAGAAGAATTCAAAGTTGGTTTTCTTTGAACTTAAACTTGATTTTGATGGATGTTGAGTTAAAAAAATGATAAATTCAGATATTAGTGTTGGAAATTATTGAGTAAAGTTTGAGAATTAGGAAGTTTTAGTGAATGGCCTAGAGAGGTTGTACGCTATATGCTTGACAAAAAGCCTAAGAGGAGATTGTAATTTAGTAAAGTGATTAGTTAAAGTTGAAAATTATGAGGAAAGTTTTATGTGTAAACTATGGTCCTAGAACTCTAAAGTTGTTATTCTTATACGTTGGTTGAGTTGATTTTTGAAAGGTATTTTGTTTGATTCAAGTATAGGCTATTAAAAAAAATGTTTTTATCTTATTATAGGGTGTTGGGAAGAACTTGGTAAAGGTTGAAAAGGAGTGACTTTTTGAATTTTGAAATTTGACAGGTAAGTGGATAGCATCCCAACTGATATTTCATTAAAATCTCTTTTATTCAAATATTACATTTTTCATGCAAATTCTTTTTACGACAACAATGTGATTATGAGATATTTTATTGATTAAATTACTTTATTTCGTGAAATTACTTTACCAGAATTGATCATTTTAGTCAATCAGTAAATACAAGTTTGAATTCTAATTATGGGATTTTATTTTGGAAATCATTCAATTGTTACAGAAAAATGATTCATGCGAGTTCGATATTGAAAAGGAAAAATTTGATTGAATAATGATCAATTCTTCGCATGTTTGAAAGTGAATTTATGGACTTTATATAGAACAATGGTTGTTAACGATAGTTCCGTTAGCCCTTGGCGCGCCATGGTACACTTAGCTAGGAAGGTGTTTATAGGAGGTGCTAGCCCCGTGCGATGGCCAACGCACGTGGAACGGAGGGATGGTTATTTGTGAGCATAGTACTCATGTTTGTTTCCTGGCTCTGGCCGCGTTTGGTTTGTATTACCCTCGTGGACTGTGTCCACATTTGTTTCGTGGCTTCAGCTGTGTTTGGTTACTTACCTTCGTGGACTGTCCACGTTTGTATTCATGACATAAGTCGCGTTCGGTTATTTACCATCGTGGACTGTGTGTCCACGTTTGTTTATTGTTCTGATAAGTCCCTAAAATTGTGAATTTAATTATTTGGTGATTTTAAATTTAATTGGTTTTTATTTAGTAAATTTTTACAAACATTTATTTCATTTATGTGCTTTCTTCAAATCAAGTGTTAATAACATTTGTTATGATAGTGCAATAGTTCAAGATTTTATTCAAAATTTTATAGAGCTATTTTATTTTGAAGATTGTTAAATTTTTATGGAGATTGTTGTCTATTTAAACTACATAATTATTTCAAACTTTTCTTTTTTTATTCATGTTTAATTGTTTATTGTTGGGACGTTATTCACTGAAAAAAGTATTTTTGGTCTCAGATACCATAGCTGGTTTTGTACTGATTGCTGATCTCTGATGGGCTCATTGCCGAATTGACTAGAGGATTAGTTTTGATAATATCATCTTATTCATGTAAAATTCAAAAACCTATGTAGTATCTTTTGAAAGTCCAATTTAGAGTGCTTCACATTAACTATAGTTAGGGTCTGATTTCTTTTTTTTTGATGTGTTAATTATTTGTTGCTAAGGAACAAAGTTCTATATTGTTGGATATATGTTGTAAACTTTTTATTGTAGAGATTTTGAAAGATCCTATGTTTAGGGGAGGTGCTATAGAAATTTTTATAAAAAGTTTGATATTTTGAATTATGTGAAAAGTAAAATTTGATACATTAATTTAGGACTTTTCTTAATTAAAGTTTTAGGGTTGTGAATTTGTGCATATATCTTATGTTAGTCATGTTAACATTTTAGAGCATGACAGAAATGGTGTTATTGATAGTCGAGTAAAGTACTTAGCTTCTGGTCCTTTTCAAGAAGTGTGAACATGGCCTCAATACATTGTCAATGGTTATAGGTTCCATACAATTTCACATGGCTCAAATAAAATGAGAATGAATAGTGGTGTCTGTATTAAAGGAATGTATTATGGTGATTCTGAGAATGATTACTATGGATTGTTAAATGATATAATAGAATTAGAATATCATAACCCAAGCCTTAAAACCACAACACTTGTGTTGTTTAAATGTGATTGGTTTGATCCTACTATCAATAAAGGATGGAAGGTGCATAATCAATTTGGTCTTGTTGATATTAACTACAAGAGAAGGTTTTCCAAGTATGAACCCTTTATATTGGCTGAACAATCTCAACAAGTCTATTTTACTGAATATGCTAGTAGAAAAAAGGATAGAGCTGATTGAAGGGTTGTGTATAAAATAAAAGCTCGAAGTATGATAGATTCACCAGATTTGGCTTATCAAGATGATGAAGTGTCAAACATAATTAAACCGGATGTAAATGATGGACTTGATTTGATAGTAGAAGGTGGAGGAATTGAAAAGGAACTTGTAGATCAAGAGGACATTGACTGTGAAATATTTGATATAGACAATCAAGAAACTGTTGATTCTCAAGACACTGAGGAATCTGAATTTGAGTCTGAAGAGGAAGATAGTGAAGAGGAGAACAATGAAGTTGCTCAGTATGATAGTAAGGATGAAGATGATGATGGAGAATCAAGTTGATTAACTACCTAGAATTGGGTGATGGTGAGGGACATAATTCATGATTTATTGATTTTTAATTGATAGATGACATGGTTAAGTTTGGATCTCGTATCAGTTTCATTGATTTTGATGCTCAAGTTTTTAATTACACAAATATATTGGCGGCATGATTATAACTAATTTGAGACATGTAAGATAAAGAACTAACTTAATGTTTAGAATTTAGAATTAGTAATTAGTACATTTGCACATCTTAATTATTCAATCTAGACATGTACGTCATAATTATAAAATTCCTCTTTGGTAGTTCCTATAACATGGTGGTTTTCATTATATTCATGTCAAATTAAAAAAAAGGTGCAAGGTTGCCCTATTATATATCCTTGTTCTGAATTTTCTAAGTGAACAGATTGAGTGGTAGTAGCGTCTGGTTCAACGATTGAGCTTAAAATGTTTGCCCTTAAGCATGCTCTAGTAAGCTTATTTCCCTATCTGATCCAGTATATGTAATTAGCACATTACCTATATCCATCTTCATGTTTTATCATTATATTGACTTCACATTTTATTGCTATAATTGGTCTTTGTTGCTTGTGGTTATGCCTACATTTCATTTATACCTACTATTTATCATGATTTGCTCCATAGAATAGACTGACTAGATGACTATATCTTTAATTTGTTTCAAGGAGTTACTGCTATAATATTCTGTGCTGCTATCAGCAAGTAGGCTGACCTTCCATTTGATTACTTATTTCATATGAACTGCTTAGTTTGTTGTTTTAAATTTGATGGTTCCCAAAGCAAGATTGTAAAATTTAGTAGAAGTCTCTTTATAGTCCCCTTGACTAGAACCCTACTTACAATAAAGTAGTGTTAAAGACGTTTGTAGTATAGTTGAATGATAAGCTGGTACTAGTCTGGCAGCTGTGAATATTAACATTAATAAGATTATTTGTACCAGGTTAAGTAATGAGCAGGCTGATAGTCTACCTATCCTTTCAATCTTACTGGCAATTGTTAGTTTGTGTAAAGCTGAAGTGTTAACCTCACACTTGCTTTACACAAACTCCTATAATGACTAGATATGCAGTTCGTACTTGCTTTTATGCAACTAGCTTCCATTTTCATATTATTTTCATTCTGCATTCTACATATGATTTCTTGCTAACGACTTGTGAGACATCCTTAATTATTCAAACCTTAGATCTAAAATAAAAATAATTCCTATGGGTAGCTACCCCCGCATCATGGACAGCAGTAATAGCACTTTGGAGCTGTGAGTGTGCTTTATACTGCTATCTTTATTTGTTTTTATTTAAACATTGTGATAACTTCTTAGATTTTTTGAAATGTCATTCTATGAAATTTTCAGTCAAGCTTTTGCCTTCGCTTAGCTTAACAGCAGTGTAATTTGATGAAATGTCTACCTTCAGTTTGTTCTTACATTTGTCTATTGGATCATTATATATTGATGTTAGGATTTTTTAGGTTTAGTCCAGTCAACTTGTTTTGGAGCACTCGTTATGACGAAGCAATGACTTTGTTTTTGGTATGCCTCAAGGAATTTGCAGAGCTTGCCAATTCTAAGGATCAGGAGAATAACATTCCACCTGAAAAGTGTTTCAAATTGCCTTATAAATAAGTTCTATCATATGCATTAGTGGCAATGGATATAATATCAACATAAGATCTTGAATGTGTATTAAGATATTAAAATTATATATAAATAAAAAGATATCATGTATCTTGAGTGGGGCATTTGCTATGATAATTATGTATTTTTCTATGAGTACAATTTTAAAATATATTGCTTTAATTATGATATATACACGGCAATAGATGGAACAAATAAGATGCCTTCTCTCCTCACAAAGCAATAAACCCTTTTTTCCTTCTCATTAAGTCATCATACACAATTCCCTCCACCCACCCTAACCGAAAAAAACATTTATGTCAACTGGCATACTTTGTAGATATACTTTTGTCACATGTCATGGCGAATTGCAAATTAGGCAACTCCAATTTTGACTTCTTAAATACATTTTAGGCCCTTTTGCTATGTATGTTGATGAAGTCGATGAATGTATGGCTTCGTGCTTATCTTAGAAGAACTGCTCAAACTCCTATAATGACTGAGGTAGCTAGATATGCTTGCTTAGATTTCACATTCCAAACATTTATTAAATTTCTTCTTGTTTCCTTTTCTTGCTGACGAGAACTTGAACATACAAGAGAGAAGGAATCTCTCCTATGAGAGTGTGACATTGGTGGAGGACTAGTTCTTATATCATTCAATACTTTAGTTAAATCATCTCATTATTTGAGCACATTCCCAAGATATTAATATTATCTTTACTCTTTATATCTTTATTTAAATTCAACAAAATGATGACATTAAATAAAAATTTTATAGGTCGAATGTATTAGTGTCTAGAGTCAAGTGGTGTGTGGTTTATTCATACATGCTCATTGCTATTTTATTTCCTTTTTTATAGCCACTGTCTGCTGTGGCTTCTTCATTACCTACCTCCTGAGTTCCTGTGTGAGTGCTATATTTAGGTAAGTTCTTTGACTTGCTTCAACTATTTTAGGTGCTTCTATCTGAATTTTACCCCCTTATTCTATGATATGTGGTTGATCCTATCTTATTGTCTAGGTTTGATATGTTAACTGATTGTCAAGGTTTCTATATACTATCTAGATATGCCAAGAAGGAGAGGTCGAAGAAGAATACAAGGGGGTAGGGGGAGTGGCATTAGTGATGGAGTTGAAACAAATTCCACCACATCACAAAGTGAAGTTCCTATAAAAGTTGTCAACTCAAACACTAGATGTGTTCAACCACACCTACACATATCTGGAAATGGGGATTCATATGTTGATATTGATTTAAAAGTTTTGTTGTGATTTTTTTCTTTTAATTTAAATACATTTGTCTTTACATGAAGGTTTACCTCATATTGTGCAATTCGTGATATCACTAAAATAATCAAAAAGTCATTTACTGGCTTATGACCTACTTGGACTTCAATCCCGTCTCACATTAGAGACAAATAGTTTGAACAACTAAATGTATGTTATGATTTTTTATTTTTTTGTTCTTAAATTTGTAGATTCAATTATTAGAAAATTTTAGAAAGCTTTGGTTTTGTTAATTTGATTGTTATTGTAGAGATTATATCATTGGGAAGAGAATGATGAAGATATAATTAGAGGCATTTTTGAAGTTGTGGGCTTTAGAAGACTCTGTGACACATTCTGTAAATTGAAAGAAAAGCTAAAAGATAAAGAAGATTATATTCCCAATTGGATTAGTGCAGACCATTGGAATGAACTTAAACAACACTGGAATACTATAAAGTTCAAGCAAATTGCAACCACTAATTCAAGGAATAGATTGGTGAATCCTTCTTTGCATACAAGAGGATCAAGTCCTGCCCATGAACATGCTTATAAATTGGTAAGGTTTGAGTCATTAAGTTGTAAAAATCTCATATTGTACCATTAATGTTTTGATTTTAAATTTATATTAATGATTATTATTTTTGTAGGAAAAAGATAAAGGAAGGAGACTTATGTTATCTGAAGTGTACAAGGCAATACACAAGAAAGAAAAAAGGTGATCAATGGGTTGATGACAAATTCAAAAATGCATATGTAATTTTAATGTTAAAAATGATAATTAATTTACTTCTTCATTTATATCTACTTACTAATTAATTGAAATTTGAATTTTATTAGGTCAAGTATAAACATAACATTCAAATCGATTTATATCAATAGCCAGTTGGAGAAGAAAAGCAACATAGAGATTTTGAGAATGTTGCAATGTTTGAAAATGAAGGTGAAGGCCAAGATGTAAATGTTAATGATGGAGACTTCATTGAAGTTCAAGCTTCTCTCTCACAAGATCAAGTGGCTCAAGCATGGTTGAAGGCAGTTGGTGGGATGAAGAAGACTGGTAAAGTTTATAGACTTGGATCACATGCTGCTATGGTATGTGGAAATCATGGCAAGACCACTTGTAATATCAATATTGTTCATCCTACTCCTCTACATCCTACACCTTCACGTCCTACACTAAATGTAGGAGATTTTGTTTAGACACCTGTATTTGAAGAAACTGTTAACCGTGCAATATAGCAGAAGATAGAATATGTATTCAACTAAAGGATGTCAGAGATGAGATTTTCCATTCAGCAGGATATTTTTAGGGCTATTCGTAGTTTAGGTAAAACAATCCCAACTCCAGAGCAGCGTGCTAGCAATGCAAATTCTTCCAAGCAATCGGATCCAAATGGTGGTGGAAAATAACCATGTTATTTCCTCAGTTTTTCCTTTATTTTTTATGTATGAGATATTTTAGAACTCTTATTGAGTTTATTACTCTACTATCTTATAATACTGTATGACTTTTGATATGTGGTTAACATATTGAACCACTTGATTATGATATGACTTTTTCATATATGGATTATAGATAGATTGAACCACTTATATTATATTGTCCACTTTAGATTTTATTTTCTAGTTAATTGCTTGATCAAATAGGATTTATTTATAATCAAAATTTTGATTCTTACAAAACTACTGTGCACTTTAGTGACCAAAGTGTGAGGAATTAATTAATCTCTAATTGTTTGCTGTCCTGATTTTTTTTGTTGCTAATTATAATCTATTAGCGAGGAAATAGTGATGACATATTCCTCGCTAATTTAGCGAGGAATACACCCCTCGCTAAAAAAGTCCTAGCTAAAAATAAACTTAGCGAGGAATTAACGAGGCATTAGATGCCTCGCTAATTTTAGAAAGGAAATAAAAAGTCCTTGCTAATTCCTCGCTAATTAGTGAGGAAAACATTATTCTTTGCTAAATATTAGCAACCTGTCATTTAGCTATGCATTAGTGAGGAATTAATTTTCTCGCTAAAAGCACATTAGTGAGGAATTAATTTCCTCACTAAATTGCTTTTAGCGAGGAATAAGGTCCTCACTAAATACTAATTTTCTTATAGTGCCACTATTTGAAGAAAATGCTTCAAGAAATGAAGGCCACATTCAAGGTAATCTCAATATTTCAATCATCACAAACTTTGAAATTACCATAGAGGTGGATAGGTGATCATGTGTGTATCTTATTTATCAGAAAGGCCTGCAGATACAAAATTAGTCTATATAGGTACTATTGTATTTGTTGAAAGTAATTCTTGGGAATGAAAGCCTACATGTTTAGGGAGAAATTCTTATATATAATAGATATACCACATCATCTATGATCTGTCTAACAAAAGCATGCCTTTCTCCATGTCCAGGATATAAAAACTGTCTGCAAAACTTTTTGTTGACATGGTAAGCCAATTAGGAGAGTGATTTCTATTGCTCACCATTCCTTGGTTTTTTTTTTAACCTTGACATACAATTCGATTAATGATTTTTGCTACATTTTCTAATAGTAACTAGTTTTGGGGTTGTTTTCAGTTTTTGATGCCTAATGACATTATCAAAATTGCACCAATTACATCCAATAAAGTTTGATCTAGTTACTAAAGATTTGGTCTACAATGAACAAGGTCATGAGTTCAAATCCCATTACCTATGTACGTGGGGGATTTATAAGTACATCTATAAATGTTTTTTAAGCTTATGTCTTGAACCTTGGTGAACTACCAAGGCTCAACTTACATAAATTTTATTTTATTGAAAAAAAAGAATTGCACCAAGATCCCTTACTGTCACGCCTCAAAATTTAGGCGTGACTAGCTTGGGATATGCATAAGAACTCACATCGCTTTAGCCTTGATGCCAATGCTTGTAATTTCATTAGGACACATTCATGGTATTGAGTGGGGTTCCTCATTTTATTTTACTTATAACAAAAGGTCATAAATTTTTGTATGGGAATTTAATATAGAATTTCCTAAAAATTTTACAACAATAATTTCAGCACAAACAACAATAAGGAATTTTGCTCTAATTAATAGAAAAAAAATCATCAATCAATATTAAGATTTTAACTATAGCCTATGTGGAGCATCTAAAATAGAATTTACAAATGGCAAAATAAATATATAAATATTCAATTTTTACAACAAATAGAAATTTAATCAAATTAATGCTTCAACTTCAATTTGAAAATATACCCTTCAATGATCCTCTGGAAGTTCATAGCTATATACCATATTTGAGGCCAAACATCTTTTTAGTGAATAACATCCCAATAATGAAATTAAATGATTCAAGATAAATAAATTCATCAAGTAAACTAGTACGCAATTAAAAGAGAATGTCAATATAATATAGTATTTAAATTTGGAAAATAAGAGATTCTATATAGCTTTAAGTAAATACAAAATTAGTAATTTACAATGACAAAACTTTAACACTTGATCTTGTAAAATAAAATGAATTAAGTAAATAAAAATAATAACATTCACTATTTAAAATCAATAAAAAGTGTGTGTGTGTGTGTGTGTATTTTTTACAATCAATTAAATTCAAGGACTTCACACAACAAGTAGCAAACATGGACACACAGTCCATAAAGGTAAATAACTAGACGTGGCTCAAAACCATAAAAATAAATATGAACACACAATCTATGAGGGTAAATAACCAAACACAACTGAAGCCATGAAATCAAACGTAGGTATGATACCCACGAATAACAAACGTGAATGTGATACTCACGAAAGTCGAACTAGCTAGTCATAATCACAACGCGCCAAGGGCAAATGGAACTGCTGTTAACAACTAGTGCTCTACGTACAGTCCTTTTAAAAAATTAATTTTTTAAACATACGAGAAATTAATCATTTTCAAAATAAAATTTTGTACTCTCAATATCAAACTCACATGATCATTTCAAAACCACAATTCTTCTCAATATAAAATTCTTTACTAGTTTCACATTTGCCTTCATCAAATAAAAAATTACTAATTGAGCTAGTAAAACTTTTTCATCAGCCTTCAAGATATATTTTGTAATGAATATATATAAATATATTATAATTTCACTACTTTTCACCATACAAATTATAACTTAAAAAGTTTAAAGCAATATAGTTAACAAAACATTAAACACTTGAAATAGTATGTGAAATCTATTTAAGAAAAATAATATTTCAATAAAAAGAAATTTGTTAGTAAATTAATTGAGATGTTATCTACTTACTTGTCATATTCCCAAATCCAAAGATTTATTTCTTTCAACTCCTAAAAAGTTTCTCTTCTTCTCAACATCCTATATAAAATATATAAAGAATTAATAAATAACCCTTACTCATATCACACAAATTCCCTCCTAAAGTTAAATCAACCAATAATTAACTATAATGATTTTAAAATTTGAGAATCAATATTTACACCAAAAGGCTTCTCCATAGCCATATCTAATTATTTAATTAAAATACAACCTCCCCTTAAAACTTTTATCAATAGCTAGTATGCATATCATTTTCAACAACCATAACACTCTTTAACATTTAGATCTCTTGTCCAAAAAATTTTCAACAGCCATACAACAGCTATGAATTCACTTAGTTACACACTAGCTCCATATTTATCAAATTTGTTTGCAATACTCAAATTATACTCACAAATACTAGTACCTAAAGCACATATGCTTCTCAATAGAGTTAATAAAATGTCAGAAAATTACCAAATCCAGCAAAACTTGTACTAATAGGAATTTTGTCAAACACCTTTCATGCATTAATTATTAAACTCAAGCCAAACCTCTTCTCCTTGATTCCTTCCTCCAAAAATTTTACCATATAAATATTGAATCAATCATCCTCCTTAATATACTCATTACTGGGAAAAATCAATCTCAAACACGAAGAAAACCCAATTTCTATCTCCACATTACTCACTAAATAAATGAACAAGAAAAGGCAAAAATCCATAACCTCAACCCATAGCCCAGTCATACAACATCCGGAAAAATTCCAACCATCAAACACACACACATCTTCGTGCAGCTCAGGGAATTAAAGAGGAAGACTCAAATTTCACAATAGTCAAATCTCAGCCACACGCACAAATTCCAGCAAGGAGGAACAACACACATGGAATTGAAAAGAAGATAAGTTCAAAGCATCAAACCTGATTCAGCAACTACAAAGAAGAGGAGGAGAAAAAACAAAAAGTCGACTGAACAGAGGAATAACACCCACCACCTAAAACGCCGCAATGACAACAAACTTCAGCTAAGATGCTCCAGTAACGAAAACGACGGTGGAGGAAGCTGTGAGTTCGATAGGACCCCATCAACAGTGTTTGACGGCAACACAAATCAGAGAAGGAGGAGAAAATTTTGATTTGAATCTCAAGCAACAGCAAGCAGAACTCTTACACTCACGTCCGCCGGCCATCGAAAGGGAGAAGATGGAAGAAACAAGGATGAAAGCGACGCCAACGAGCTAGGAAGAACAGAGCCAAACAGATCGACGTACCACCCAACAGCTGCTCGAACAAAGAAGAAAGAAGCAGACTCTGGTACTCATGATCACCAAAAAAGAACGTAAAGGGAGACAGAGAGGAGAGGAGGACGAAGGAGGCATTCGAAGCTTCTGGAAACAATCCTCTCTCCA